CTCTACAACTTACACCAGAACAATTCACCCAATTGTGCTGAAGCTTTTATGAAGACAATATGCACAAGGTTTTATGTCACAGTGTGCTTGGGAGGTCCGCAGTGAGCAAATTTGGGGTCGAGAGACTGCACATGAATTCCACTACAGTACAAACAAGATGTGATGACTGATGGGGCCAAGCTGTGACTACAGTTAACCGACGCAACAAGTAAAATCCCAACCGAGACTCGGTCTGTCACTCGACAGATCTGTTCCCATACTTTACGATGTGCCATAGACACAACACTAAAAGACTGTATATAGGGGTGTGGCACAGACAGCTTTAGGCCACTCCACAAGCATTTCTCTCCATGAGGCTTCAGACAGGACATTCTTCTCGCAACATTTCCCCTTGTTCCTTATCTGAATGCATTCCTATCTGCATATTTGAATCATTTTTTTTTTTTTTTGCATGCATGCAATCCCGCACATGCTATAAGGATGGAGTCTTGACTGGCTGTTCTCCAACCTCTTAGATCCAAGTAAGAGCTGGATGTGGTTTCTCTAACATGCTGGATGGAAACCACAGCCCACCTACTTCTCATTCAACATAGCTAAGAGAATCTAAAAGGGTGTCCCAAACCTCTCCCCCAAAACCTCAGCTGAAAGTGCTTCTTTTGAAAAGAAACAAAGGCACACCCGCCACCAGCTGAGCCGAGTAAGCTCCATTCGACCATCTCCAAATAGCTATTCGCGGCATATTTTACAATAAGACAGATCAAATTATGTGTATTGCGATGTCATAAATATATGTTATAATCAAAAGGGTTGGGGAGGCATGATAATGTCTATTCTATTGTGACTCTACAGACAATTATTTCAATGTATGGCTTCTCCAAATGCAAAAATGCATAGACATGGGTCACAAAATGCACCTATTATAAAATAAACCAAGCCCACTTTACAAGAGGAAGGAAATATGATAATTTCCTCCCGGTTTGCCATGCGTTTTTCCATTATCCTGTACCGCTCCCTCAAACACGTTTGTGTGCGTTTTGTTCGCGTAAAAGTCACATTGGTCAAATACAGATTTGATCCTTGCAATTATTCGATACACTGTGGGATGCTGTGATTGTTACACATTGTAACAGCCTGTGTAGTAAAGTTAACGACGCAAACAGCTTCATTAATTATAAAGGGAACGTTTCTGTTTAGTAGCGTCGTGTAGATGGGGTGTGAGAATCACAAAACCAGTCTTAGAAATGCTGCAGTAGCCTACAGCTTCAAGAGCTATGTTATAGATTTTGACAGCTGAATTTCGCTTTTAAAAAATCACAAGTTGACCGGCTAAGCACCTGAGTAACGTAGCCTAACATAATGTAGCGGAGGAGCAGGGGTTCAGCGTTCGCGAGCGTTGCGTTTAGTTCGGATCAGCGTTCATTAGCATTGCAAATCAAACACAGTCATTTCTCACATGATTTTAAATATTTCTAAACATGCTTTATGCTTTGTAATAATTAAAAGAAGATATTCCATAACTCACGGTTATGCGGGGAATATTCTTCTTGCCCTGATAGCCAGACATCTTCGTTCTGCTCTATTCCCTTTGATGAACCGTTATCACTGTAATAATGGATGCAACGATCTGTTTGGGAGGGGGAATGGCTTGGTTTAGGACAATGTTTGTAGTCCTCGAGAAATTAGGAGGCGAACGGATGAGGCAAAAGCGCTAGAAATGGAAAGGACAAAAGACCTGTGCCCAATAACTCCTCTCCACTGATGCACCAAGTCCACCCAGACTGTCTGAGACAAAACGAGAGATTTTCACAGCGGAGAGTAGCGCGCATGCGCACAACCCCGCCCTGGACAGCCGGCAGCTCCTCCTCTGAGTCCAGAGAGGGTGACCAGTGACCAGTGTTTCAGACAATGGTGTTTTTTTTGTGTTTGTTTGTTTTTTTTTTTGTTTTTTTTTTGACAATGGTGTTTTGCATAATCTGATCGAAACTGATGGAAAAAAAAATATAACTGTTTTAGAAATGATGAATATGATTGTATGCTAACGATTATGCAGTTTATTATGCTTTTTTTTTTTTGCTGGGGAAATTCATTAACTATAGTTAATTAATTCATTAAAACATAAATATTGATAAGGATAATACATCTGAACATTGTGTACATACATAGGCTACATACATACATACATATATATATATATATATATATATATATATATATATATATAAATCATTTTCTGATTTAGAATTCATGTTCATGATGCTAAAAGTCCAAAAGTGGTGTAACTGTCCGGACAATAGGCTAAAAATGATAAATATCATATTAGAAGGTAGAATTTATTGTAGAAAAATGGAGAAATATTGGCATAATTATGAAGAAAAATAACTGCGTGCGCGTGTGTGTGCGAGACATTTCTTGACCATTTTACAAAAAGTCTTGTTTTATTCATGTCAAACCCCCTACAATGACAATTCATGTCTCAAACATTCATGATTTTTTTTTATCAATATTTTGTACTTTTGAATATTATTTTTAAAAATGCTTGAAAAATAAATGGTTTGATAATAAAGTTGTGTGCACAGTAATAAAATAAAAGTGATTGCCTCAGAAGTAGCAAAACGATATGTTTGCAGTTTTAGCTCAAGCAATTCAGAACATAGTATATTAACACCACACTTAATGCCTTCTTAACATGAATCTCGTGATCTAGTGTACGTGCACAAAGTCTATAGCTCAACATCCGGGTCCTTCAGTCTACTGTGGTCTCAATGCAGTACATTTAAACACGCTATTGATCTCTGCAGTCATTCAGGCCTGTCATGAGGGGAAAAAGCATGGGAGTGGCTTTAAATCACACTTGCCAAACATAGAACAACTTCCTGTTCAGTATGGGTGACATAGCGCTTTTTGTATAGTGTCATGTACAACAGTAACCGCATTCAGTGAAATAACATTACTGTTTTCTCTTCCATGGTTTATGTGGGTATTTCTGAATATAAAGAAGGAAAACAGGCATATGAGCTTTGACAGTTGCCAAGTTATTACTCTTAGAGCCCAATCGGGACATACTTCAATCATCGTTCAGCATCATTGTATCTGTAGCTATGGTTACCGCATCCAGATACCAAGGCCCACACATACTTGAATTATTGAGCTCTTGGGAACAATAACTGTAAAGTCATCTTATTTTGTAGGGGTTGAACATTTTCTTATTAAAAATGTTAAATAGCTAGAAGGAATGCACCTTATTTCTAAATGCACAAAGCTTTGCGAGGTATAGACCTTCTGCACCAGATAAACAATTATTCAGAGATATTTACAATTTCTCTGTATATTTTGGCTAGAGTAGTTAACTGAATAAGTGGATTTACTTATTGTAGAGTTAACAGAAGTTATCATCAGCATTGTGATATTTGATGTGGACGTCATTACAGATATCCAGGGAAAATTTAAAACGAGCGGATCATTCATTCATCCGTAAGATCTTACCTTCATGCAGTGGAAAGGGGGCGGGGCTACATAAGCTCTATACTGAGCCCTTAAGTTGTATGCATCCTTGATCTTTTTACTGTGAGAACAACAGAAAATATTCAAGCCTTAATAGAATTCAAGGTTTTATTCACCCATGAACAACCTAAAAAATAAGTGGTGGATATTGTACAGTCAGACTGCAAATCAAACCCATCAGATATTGTATCATCCTGAAGGAATGCATTTTACAATGTTGCATATTACTACTTGGACATTAAGCTGAAATTATTTTTTTCCTATAAGATTAGCAGTGTAGGAGATTGGTTGCCAGGGAAAATGTCAAATATAGCGTTCAAAGATACAAAAACATCTGACAACAGGATGCTGCAATTGACCAATCACAATCAAGTATTCCAGAGAACAGCGTAATAGAGTGCAATGGTGCAACCCACCCACTTTTTCAGAGACGCTGGTTCCGGAGGGTTTTTCCATTCAATTATCCCATGGGGATTAAAACAAAAATAAAGTTTTCTTTTGAAGCAAAAAACTATTTGAAAATCAGACAAAAATAAAAAGGTGAAGGAAAGAACTACAATCCTATGAGATATTGTGAACAGCATAATATAATTCAAAATATATAGTGTATATTTAGGGAGACCAACTTTGTGTCATTTGCAGTGAGAATGGGCGGAGCTAAAGAGATCTATAGTGGCATATTTTGTTTCAACTCACAGATTGGTGTAATTTTCTGTACAGCATCATGGGTAATGTAGTTTTTCACCATGAATTCTGTTGTTAAACACGATTCTTTTAAAACTAAGTTTACATAATGTGGGCGACTGCTTCAACAGAAGCGAATACTATCAATTAACAACCTCGTAGCTCAGAGTAAAGCTGTCTCTAAAGGTTATTGTTGAACATTAATTTCATTATGGAGAAAATGAATTGAGTTTTTACTCCTGGAACACGACTGTGGTGCAGGGGATGATGTCACAACCAATATGGGTGTGTATAATTTACATAGTACAGCAAAATGTCCAAATGTTGTGGAGCAAAAAGTATCAATTAATTTTTGCCACATACTTTATTTTACTCCTAAACCGAAAACCCCCATTATAAAAACCCATAGAAAACTCTTGAGGGAACCAGCAACAAATTAGTCTTTCGGGTTTTGATCATCGGTCATCCCTGCACCGTGCTATAAGTTCACATATGGACTGCAAATTAGTAGATCTGTATCAAAAATCATATAATAAAAAAAAAAAAAAAAAAAAAAAAAAGGAATTTTACTTAAAAGAAATAAAAGAAACCATTCACAAATTAGGGTGTTGAATTTAAAAACATATTTCAATTGGTTTAATGATTTTAAACAGTATTCATAATTAATTGGATTCTACAGAACCATCTTACCTTATTAGCTAAAATATGGAAACACTTGTCATATCTAGGTAGACCTATATAAATAAAATGGTTGATCTGAATGCATGATATAATCAGACTGATTCCCCCACATGCACAATCCCTGCAGCTCTTACCTCATCCTTCAGGTTCTGCAGATTCTCTTTCCCGGCACTTCTTCTGATCTCCACTTTTTGTGGTTTGGAGATATCATTCTGCCTCTCGATCACCCGACCTTTCCTTGAGGACAGCGAGTCAAAGTCCAGCGTCTTGTTGTCGGACGAACCCTCCACCGGGCAAAACATGCCACAGAATTTCTGCCGTGGCTGGTTGGGGCTGGAGCTTCCCATGTTCTGGAAGAACGAAGGCACATCTCCGACAGCAGACATTTCTCTCTGATACTGTCAGATGGATGCAAAGGCATGTAAACCTCCGGTTAGCGAGCAGGAGGTTGCTCTGTGGACACTAAATGTTAGTTTTTTTTCCCATTGGGAGATGAGAAACAGCATCATGTGAGGTGAGGAGGTTCCTATAAATCCTAAAAGAATCCTAATGGATGTGTTTTTTTTTTTCCCAAATCAAAAATAAGAATAATAAAATAAAAACCCACTGCGTTAAATATCAGCAATTAAATAAATTAAAAAATGATAGAAACTTCATAAGCATTTCTTCAGGCTATTTGACTGATGAGTTGTCAAAACAATGATTAGCATTATCCACAGCCCTGCAAATAACATGCAATTGATCGCAACTAGCACACACTTAAAAAAAATCCCTTTAGAAAAGATGCCTACTCATCTTGAACATTCTGTTGAACAATGCAAAACATGTAGAGTGTATTCAAATAACTGTAAACCATGCAAATTATGGTGTGTCATGTTATTTAATGCAACACATCGAACATTATATCGCGAAGATACAGTTAGAGAAAAATCCATGGATGTTACCGTACAGTAGACGTGAGACCGACGGAGGATGAGGTGACGCTCTGCTGGAGAGACGAGACGAGAAGAGGAAAGGCGGAAGCGATGCGGTTTTTTGAGGGTTAAAGATGTAATGTGTCCATATCTGAGGGCTCTTTCCCCGGATGACTTGTCACTTAACGCTCATTGTGTGGTAGCTTACCATTGTTAGCGTTCACACCGTTTGTTTGGTGAACACGCGTGTGATGTGGTAAATGAAGAGAAATGTATGTTAGGTTTAGTCATAGAATTAATAATGATTTTGAGTGGGGTTTTTTTTTTTTTTTTTTTTTTTTTCTTCGGAAGAGTCGTTGCTCTGTTGATAGTTGAAGCGCCACGCCCATGCAGGTTAAAGTTAAGGGCGCTGTCCTTTCAGCACCACGCGACGAATACACTCTTTACATGACTTGCGTTATGAGTGCACGAGCACTTGTGTTCTTATGTCTGAGCTGTTCTTATGCACACATGTGTCAGATTAGCCGGTGTGTTACGTATCGCGAAACTTGTAAGAATTGTATAAAATTCCATTTCCATTTCAGTCATTTTGAGATATAAATATTTGGGAGAAATTGTACGCCTTTGGGGTTTTTTTGCAATAAAAATAAATTGGTCCTCTATATAGCACATATGACAAAAATTATGTATTAAATTAATAGTTAATAAATAAATTAGCAGATTTTTGTTATTTTTTTTATAAAATAGCCTACCACTGGTTATAACAAAATTCAATGTCTAATTAATTTACTTCTACATGCTGTCATTTACAAAAATTGACATTTACAATCTGCCAATAACTATGATTGAAATCTCATCTTTAAGAGAGTAAGGTCTGGTTTCACGAACAGGATTTAGATTAAGTCAGAATTACGCCTTAGTTCAATAATAGTGCATCTTGGGACAAAACAATCACACTGACATATTTTAAGATATGCCAGTGCAAGTTGCTTTCACTTAAAAAGGTTCAAACATGCTTTTTAGTCTGGGACTATAGGGTAACATTTATTGGTAAGGAGTTTGAGTTGGATGAATTTATGCTACAAAATAATAATCCCGCAGTTCACAAACTGAACCATCTGATACTCACATTTTCTAACGATCTACATTACCACTTAGATGCTTCAAAAAGTTCATCACGAGATTGTAAAACTAACGAAGCAGTTTAGTCTAAATTTTCCTGAAGAGACTTGATAGCTTTATATGGTGAACAGATTGAATGTAGGCTTTTATTCATATATAAACATTGATCTACTCACACATCAGTTGCGTAAATGGAGGCTAAAGCATGTTTGCTTGTTGTGTGAGAAGAACCACTGAGGTTCATTCTCGTGTTACGCAGCACGTTTGAGCTTCAGCAAGAACTAATGAGGTTCATTCTTATGTTACAAAGTACGTTTGAGCTTCAGCAAGAACCAATGAGGTTTGTTCTCATGTATCAAGAATGTTCGGTTGAGCTTCTGCTTATGTTCGCTGATGAATGCTTATATGTGTATATAAGACTAAATTCAATCTGTTCACCGTATAAAGCGATTGTGTCTCTTCAGAAAATTTGGATTAAACCATATGGATTTTTTTTTTTAGATCTCTTTTGAACTTTTTGAAAGTAGCAGCTGACAATGGAGTAGGGATGAGCGAGTACAGCATTATCTGTATCTGTATCTGTATCTGTTAACCATATGAATTATCTGTATCTGTATCTGTACTCGGACTGGGCGGGGCCTAAACCCGGAAGTGGGCCGGGTAGTCTTGAAATGGGCGGGGCTTTAACCGGTATGTTATTTTAAGCATGCAATTGATATGGGTTGATCTGAAATTGCTATATTTATTGCTGATAAGAAATAAAACTATTTACATGACAGCATCAGCATTGAGCTTCAGATCAAGTTTTGCAACAATGAATACAACACATGTGGCTGCAATTATGAAGTAAAATGTAATGAACAAGAGTTTTCATCTCAACTACGGCTGGGTGATATGGACCAAAAGTCATATCCCGATATATATTTAGGCTGAATTTCGATATACAAAATATATCCCAATATTTTTTCTGCAAAGTGAGAGCAAATGTTCAGTCAAAGCCAAATATGACATGTCACAAGTAGTTTTATTGAAACTTGAACATTTGCTAAATCAAATGAATAAATAATAAACAGGTTTCTTCACCTTAGGGCTGCATGATTAGCTATGACAAAAATCTTAATTGCAGATTATTCCCTTGGAATTGTAATTGTGATTTATTAATTGGTTTATTTATTTTGTTAATACAACGTTGGTATGAGCCATTACAGTCATTTAAAAAAATATAAAAAATAACACAAAGAAAAATATGGGTATTAAGGGGTTAATATAGAAACGACAGTTACCATAGTGAATAGTGAATACACAATACTAACAAGAACTGTTTATGAAACATGGAAACTGCTCCTGGTGAATAGAATGAAAATCATAACTGCATTGCTTTTATTTCGTGTAATTTACAACGTAACGGTGTTGCATGCTCGTATAGTTTCTTTTGCACTTTATATACAGTGAGGCGGTCCAGCGCGCGCCGCCGCATTTGCGCGTGCAATTGAGTGTGCGCTACGACTAACGTTACAGTATAACGGCTGACAGGACAGAAAGTCCGTTTTGCTGAGGTGAAAGACTTTATTTCATAACATAACATGCTTTAATCAAGCACGCAAAGTGGAAAAGGAGTGGCTGGGGCGCGGGGAGCAGTGCAGAGAGCTCAGCAGCTTGCTTGGAGCAAGGATCACAGCGCAAACCTGAACTAAGCCTATATCGATATGAAATATGGTCTAATTACATATCACATTTAAAAATATATATATTCTTTATATTGATATATCGCTCAGCCTTAATCTCAACATAACTTTTTTTTTTTTTTTTTTTATCCGAGCACAGATATTGACTCGTATTACTCGTATAATATTCGTACTTGACAAAAGTGCTTTATCCGTACCGGATACTCGTTTCAGCCGAGTATTCGGCTCAACTCTACAATGGAGTAACAGAAAACGCTCATATTTTATTAAAAAAAAAAAAAAAAAAAAAAAGCTGTGTTCAAAAAAAAAAAACTTCATCTGTGTTCCGAAGATGAACGAAAGTCTTACGGACTTAGAACAACAACGAGTAAGTAATTCGATTTTGGGTGAGTTATCCTAATCCATTTTAAAGGACCACATCTCAAGGGCCCTCATCCGTTTGAGAATTTAACTATTCTGATAGCTATTTTTTCGAGCTGTATTTCCAGGAGCGGCAGCGCCATCTTTGATGGATAGAAGTCGCTTCAGTTGGTTTCTACTGTTATGAAATGTGTTTTTAGATTGTGCTGACGAAAAACAGCAAAAATATCTTTCCAAGAGATTTCAGTAGACACAAAAACTCCAACAAGAGGTGTAGAAAAGTATAGGTTATCTAAGAGCTGCATAGCTTTTTTTAGCGGACGGCATTGAAAACAGCCTCGCTTTCATTACTCACCATGACGCTGCTCTGAATAAGGTCTACAGCAACACATAGCCTAATTATCTATTCTCTCAAGCAATAAAAGCCAATATATTTTTCTCATACGTTCCTCTTTTTGCCGATTTTGCTGAGTATGTTGGCCAGTGGAACAATTTGGTGGAGAGTAGCTCATTGGAGACACATTCTGTTCTGCCCTCACAATAATATAGCGAGAGCCCAGTTTCCATAACAACAACAACAGGCTACCGCTCAAAAGAGTTGCTGCATTAGCTACTGTCTGCTGTACTGAGGGGGGAAGAGTGAGACAGTTTGTGACACAAAAGGAACAAAGAACCAACTCCTTTCATTTAATTCCCCCCAATCAAACATCAGCATGCATAAAACTGATGCTGCAAAGAGAAAAACTTCATAGACATTTCCAAAACACTCTGGTTATTATGTGGATCAGATAATGAACACATGCATACTTCAGTCATCATTCATTACGAAACCTCAGAACACCTGTTTCAGCCAATCACAAGACTGAGAATTTAATTTCAGCTCCTCCTCCTACATCCTGTGCGGTTGCCATGGGTTACATGAGGAACACTAGACTAATTCAAACACGAATACACCAGGAACTAATTTTTTTTAAACAATTATTTTAAGGACACAACTTATTTAAGAGTCTAAAATACAACAGAAAAAAGTCAAAATTCAGTACATTTAATCTCAAACAATTCTACAGTGTGAATGCAGCACAGATAACAAAAGAATGCAATTAATTATGTCAAAGCCACAATAATAGCGATTCATGTCGACGTCACCGAAATGGAACGTATCAGCTGTATTCTGAGTCGCTTTGTCTCGTGCTAAAGAAAATGCCCTGGTTGCCGCAATTGCTGAGTCATCAATCATTCGGCAGGGAATCTTTGACAAACTGTGAAAAAAAAAGATCTGTAGTTGCAACTGCAGTTGCATACGAAAGATATTGGAATAGATATAATATCCTGCTCGGTTAGAATGAGGCACACCCTTAATTTCCCATTTGCGACACTAGAGGGCAGTTGAGTAACGCGTTAGATTGCTAACCATCTAATCTGATTTATTTTGAATTAAATTAAAACCATGTGAACTCACCAAGGTAGTTTGGGGAAATTGGTTTTAGCCTCTTAGCTGTGGGCAAATGCAAATTCACGGGCAAATCACACCCCTCGAGATTATAGTATGAATGAGCAAACACAAAATCAATAGATAAAATGGATTCAGTGCTAATAGTTTTTCTGAATCTGCAACACTGCTGTAAACCGAAGGTCAGATGTAGCATTTCGACAGCAGATATAAGTGGCCCTCAGCTGGCACTGTGATCCTTAAGTAACTTAAGCAAGGAACTGTGAAAAAGCCCACAATAACCCTGACAGAAAAAAAAAATGGCAGAGCAAAAATATGTCAGGCATTTTGTATTCACAGTTAGGATAAGGGCATGAACTTGTAGGCTTCAAGAAACATGAGTCAGATGTAAGATGTGCCGGGCAGACATTTAGGCCGAACTGGATTTGGATAACTCAGCGAGAAAATAAGCCACACTGATGATAGGAATGTAGTGAGACCATAATAACTGGGAGCTGCGTGTAACATCATGACATAAAGTTAATGAAAGGACCACAGACGTCACTCTATCTGTCTCTGGTCTGTCTCCAAAGTAATCATCTCACAGAAGTATCAACAACAGGCTCGGTGTTCGGTGTGAACTATAGAGCTGAAGGAGATCTGACCTCAGGTCGAATTCCCAGACGTGTGCTTCAGAGCTCTAATACGGGCTATTTCTGTGTTCTTCTGAGTGGTTGTTAGCATTGCTGGGTGGCTACATTATGAAGAGATTAAAGAAAAACATGTTTTTTTTTCCATCCAATAGTTATATCACAATATATTGAGGGGCGGGTCGGATTTGGCGCGAAATGTTCATAAACGAGAATGTTCGTAAAATGGAACTGGTAACTAAATTCGTATTATTATTATCGGTGGATCTTTAAGATGCAGTTACATACCAATGTTCAGCAACTTTCCACCGGTTAAATCCAATCATTTCATTGTGAAGAGAATGCTAGTGAATTTCCCGTGAGGGTGAACGTTTTCTTCTGACGTTCCCATTCGCAGCAGATTTTTGATGAACTTTGACCCTGTGAGAATTCGCCAATAAGAACGTATGTTAAAAAACAACTCTATACATGCAATTCTATAATTAAACAATGAAAGCTTGTTTCTGCCACTGAATAAAAAAAATGAGGTAATTGCAACTTTTTCTCTCACAATTGTACATTCATCTTACAGTTCTGAGAAAAAGTCAGAATTGCAAGAAAAAGTCAGAATTGCTGACTTGAGATAGGTTATAGAAGGTTATAGGTCAGAATTGCAAGTATATATCTCACAATTCTGACTTCATAACACACAATTGCGACTCCACATCACACAATTCTGAGCAATAAAAGTTTAAATTGTGAGATAAAAAGTTACAATTACCTTTTTTTTTTTTTTTTTCAGTGGTGGAAAAAAAACGTCCATATTGGGTGTGTGTGTCATTATATTTGCATTAAAGGTGGTTCATTTGATTAACGTTAATGTTTTCTAACCATAGATGAAGTTGTCTAAATAAATATATATTTTTTTTTTTACTTTTGGAAAAACAAACACAAACAAATGCACGCATGGAAGATGGCTTTGAAAATAAATGAATAAGTGATGTGTATGAAGCATAGACGGTATGAAGTCAAACAAAATAATAATAATAAAAAAAAATAAAAAAAAATAAAACACAAAACAGTCACTGAAATTCAGATTGTTCTTTTAATTTTAATTTGAAAATTGTGTCATTATCCAACAGGGATGAAAAAAAAGGGTCTGTTAAACCAATAAACTTCATTTTATAATCACATCGCAGTCTGAAGAAACCATCTCCAAATAGAAGAGTAGCCTATAACTCATTTCTTTCCTACCACAATTTTCGAATACAGATATAAACACAATGTTTTAACTATCCTGTACCTTCTCTTCTACTTTGCCTTGGTAAAGACTTCAAAAAAATCCAAACAAACAAAGCATATGAGAAACCTTCCAAAAGTCACATTCACAAATAAGATGGTGCAAAATAACAAAACGGAAAAGCTTGTGGAACAGAACACACGCATGATAACAGGAAATGATGACAGGATTCTGTATCTAACATGATTAAGGAGACGAGGCACAAAGTTTATCAAAGTTGAGCTCTCAGTTGATTTTGGCAGCTGTGTTCGAGGACAAGTAATTCCTTAGATAGATATTGAAGACAAAAAGAAACTGGTTTGCACATCCAAAATACACTTAAAAAGAGACAAAAACCCAACTAGACTTGAGAATAATTTCACTTCGGGGTTGAAAACACAAACGATATAGGACTGGGGTTTTCATGTCCAGGATAACAGTCACCTGTGGCGCTGGAGTGTTAGTGTTCAATAAATGTGTGCGACTATGACTCTGTAAGCGTGCGAGGTCAATAACTCGCGTGAGAATTATTAAAATTATGTCATCATTATTCAATCTTATGTAAGTCCAAGTACATAGATATTTTAAAGAAATCAAAGCTGCTCTCTTCAGTTTATCTCCATTCACTTCCATTGTATGCTCAAAGCTGCTTCTTTTGTGCTCCACAGAAAAAAAGAAAGAAAATCAAGCAGGTTTGGAATGACATTAAGTTGAGTAATTAATGACAGAATATTGTTTTTGGGTGAACCATCCCTATAATTGAAGAAAGGTTTCTCTTGCACTGATGCCCTTAAGTTAAGTATATGAAAATTCTAGAAAGTTTGACACGGCTATGACAACATGGCAAAATACCAAAGCTGTTGTCCTTGTTAGCAAGATCCTCTTAGCTTTGAATGCAATCCAGCTCAATGCTAATGGTAAATTGTGAGGTATTGCAAAATATGCTTTGTAGAAGCCTAGTTCTGAATCACTAGGTCATGATATGTACTTTATGTGAAGAAACTATAGGCAAACAAATGACAGAACAAACAATAAAATAACAATAGCGTTTGTTTTCCATACAGGGATCCGTTAGTCCCATCCATCCGGTTTTTATCTACGTTTATGCGATGAAATATTTAAAAATATATGCATCAGATATTTCAATGTAACAGGTGCTGTCTTTATCAGGGTTGTGTAAAAGATTATGCAAAACTTGGTATAAAATTGTATGCCATACAGTCATAAACGTGTGTCAGCTATTGATTTTCAGTCTTCACCAGATGAGCTTGGGATCTACGGAGAGCCCTATCCTTCCCAAAACACTTCCAGGTCCAGCATCCTGGCAATCTGCCCATAAATTAAATACAAATAACTAAATGGATAGCATTTCTAGTAAAAAATCAAATCTTAGCTATCACTCAGGCATGCTTCAATAAGTCACATTTTGGTTGATCCCATTTGAGGATCCTTTATGACTCGTGAGTGGCTCCCTCTTGGGTCATGTGATCAGAACAGAAAGGGGTGCTAAACAGACACATCGCTGCCTCCTAGCCGAGCTAGCGCAGAGCTAGCGTGTGCGTGTTTGGGTTTCCCCAAATACTTTCCAAAATGAGATGCTTTTACTAAATGGGGTGTTAAAAAGGGATACAAAGAGTGATAAACAAGAAAGGGCCTGAAATGAAGAAAGGTTTATCACTGATACTTCTAGGCATGGCAAGGTTGGATAAAGGGAAAGAAAGAAAGGGGCAGCAGGGGGGCTTCTTCGTACAAACTGCTACCTTCTCCCTAATCCACCTGGGCCATGCCTGAGGCACTCGATTGGATTTGTGTTCAAATGGAGCTTGCAGTGGGAGTTGTCAGTCTTTTCCCGATATAGACCCTGCATTAGAGATAGAGTGTGAGATACAAAACAAAAGAAAGAGAAATGTAAAAAGTCAGACACTTTACATGTTGAATCTTACACTGTTGTCAAGCTACATACTCATCAGGGGTGTGTGAATTAAACACTAGGTGTGGTCTCATTTACACATTTTTCTGCAAGGTCAAAATTGAGCAATTTCAATAGGAATCCGCGTTAGTCAGGTAAAATTGTCATGTTGACCAACAGAAAGCTGCGTGGTTTGAAAGTGACTTCATTTACAGCTAGAATATTGACAATAGACTTTTTATGTCTGCGAAATTTCACTTAAACTTCTCTAATGTAGGCTGCAGTGTTCAAACAGGTGATTGCCGAACCGCTTAAGGTCCACATGATGCTTATCGCAAACGAAACTGCGAAAAATTTCCAAAATCGGCAAGCTGCAATCTGATAGGCTGGTCAGGATGCTTAGGTTTATTATTGGTCCACTGGGGAACAGAGTTGTATTTTCAAGCTGCTGGGCTATTTGGAATTGCGATGACAAAATTTCATGTTATAATGCATTTTTGAGTTCCGTGCTCATAAATGACTGAGTCAAGTCGCATTTACAAATGTGGGAAAGGTGAAATTCTTTGGAAGGGGTGTGTGTTTTTTTTTTAAACACTGTGGAAAAATACTGATGTATGTCATATAATATATCTGTAATCTATAGAAATGTGTGAGCGAAAAGCAAGTAGTGAATGAAGGATTTTCCAAGTTATTTTAATTTGACAAATATTTCAATCATCTTAAAGGAGTAGTTCGCTTTTGAAAAAAAAACTTTTGCTAATAATTTACTCACCCCCATGTCATCCAAGATGTCCATGTCATTCTTTCTTCAGTCGAAAAGAAATTAAGGTTTTTGATGAAAACATTCCAGCATTTTTCTCCATATAATGCACTTCAGTGGGAACCAAACGTTTCCATGCCCAAAAGACAGTTTCAGTGCAAACTGTTCAAAGGGCTTTAAACGATTCCAGACAATGATTCAAGCGAAACGATCACTCATTTAATAAAAAAAATAACAAAGTTTAAGTTTTATAAGCTCAAATGGTCGCCTTGCTCTGTTCTGTGTTGTGTGTTCGTGACTTTCCTTTTGGAACTCGTTCATCAAAATGAACAAAATCTTTTTCCGAGTCATTTGGTTCATTCAACGAACGAAATGAACTAATTGATGAACGAGTTCGAACGAGCTCGTCTTTTGTGTCTTTTGGACCTTGAACCGTTTGGTTCCCACTGAAGTGCATTATATGGAGAAAAATGCTGGAATGTTTTCATCAAAAACCTTTATTTCTTTTCGACTGAAGAAAGAAAGACATGGATATCTTGGATGACATAGGGGTGAGTAAATTATCAGCAAAAGTTTTTTGAAAAGTGAACTACTCCTTTAAATTTGTGATGTAGGGAACAGCTAAAAGACAACACGTGTTACGTTAATTACCTTCACGGTTTGCATTTTGTTTTGGTCAGATATGCAATTTTTATAATTTTGTTTTTTCAAATGTAGTTATTTGGGTTTGTTGTTGTATGTTGGAATAATTGTCTTGGAGTTTTTTTTTGGCAACTTCCATGTTATGATTATGAATGTTTAACATGTTGTAGTAACAAAAGCCGTACATGTTTCCTAGGTGCACTTGAAGGCAGCTTATACTAGGTGTGAAGTGTGATTGTGTTTGAAGGTTTATCTACCCGAGACCCAGGACTAGGATGTGGGACAGAAGCAGCGAGGGGATAAACACTTTGAGGAACTCAGCAGAGAAGATGCCTCCTTTCTTCATGGCTCCTGTCTTCCTCATGCTGAGAGTCACTGAACGTCGCGGGTGCCGGAAATGAAACTCCCTGTCAGACAGATAAACCCAACACATCAACAACACAGCATCATACTGCTTTACCTCAAGATCACTACAGCACAAACTCAGGCTGTTTTTTTTCTGGCTTTTCTTCTATATTTGGATCTTTGAGGGTTAAGAAGTTTTGTTTGGACCAGAATGCTGACTATTTGGGCATTTTGACTGAAACCTTAGATTGTGACCTGTGGAAATAACTGTATGCCAGCAGGATTATTATAGTGAACTAAAACTAAAGATAAAACTATTTTAAATTCATTACTTGAATTAAAATAATCATTAACTGAAATAAAATAAAGTATAAAAAAAACTTGCCAAGACAACATTTCTCAATGTAATTTAGTTTAATCTGCTGCGCAACTAAAACTTGATGTGAAGCTAAAACTGAAATAAAAACGAATAAAACTATACTATTAAATATGAATAAAAACTAGTATATCAATGACACTAAAATAATACTAGTCTTACTTGGGTGGAACATTCTCTGGTCTACTTGACCAGTCTGACACCCGATCCGAATCCTTCATTAAGATGTCATCATCTCTGATCTTCTCCATGACGAAATCCTGAGGGACACACACACACAAAGACAGACAGGTAATGAAGATAAGCCAGAGAACGTTCCATAAGATGATCCACAATGTTCTCGAGAGGAAGTACCTGACTGTCTCTCCTCATGTCCACGTCGAAGATGATCTGCCCTTCATCCTGAGGACTGGGGGGTCGAGGAGGGCTGTGGGAGCCAGCAGTTTGGAGTATGTTAAGACATGCCTTAAATTTCATTCTGTTCCTTACACAAAGTTTTCATATGACTTCAGAAGACAACTTTTATGATAATTTGTTGCAATTTTTGTCCTTTTATGGCAATATGAATCACCTATCTGTTTCATAGTATGGGAAAGAGCAGCTTGGACATTTTTCTAAACATCTTTTGTGTTTCACAGGTCATACTAATTTGGGAATGAGAATTAATGTTTTTGTTGTGTGTGTGTGTCTGTGAAAGAACCATGACTGTAGTGTGTAAGAGGAATTAAGCCTGTGTACATATGAGAAAGAAACACTGTATTCCTAGAGTAAACATCCTGAATCACATGATTCACTGAGTCTGAATGAGATAAGGGTTATTATGGCCATATCTTATCAGTGTGAGGTCAGTGTGACAAAGTGTTATTTCATATGGATGTTTATAGCACCACTCTCTATCTATGAGGTCATTAAATTCAAGGTGTGTGAACTTTTGACAAGTGCAGATGATATATGTGCATGTGGACTCTTAAAGGGATAGTTAGTTCACCCAAAATGTTTTGCTATAAATGACATCAATGTGTTGTCTACCTGCCGCACGAGGAGTTACTGCGGCTGGATTCGTGCTGGGCATCCAGCAGGATTTTTTCCATGTCTCCATTGTGGATGGAAGACGATGAGGGAACGTGTTCCAGCCCCCCGACCATCCCGTCATCCTCCTCTACAACCTGGTCTAAAGGGGGCGGCACTGAGGCGCTTGAGGAAGACAGAGATGCAGCGTTTCTGTTCATCTCCAGCTCTACCCATGACCCTAAAAAAGACATCACAAAAAAATATCACAACAATAAATATTTTTAATAAAATGTTTTCAGCTATGAGAATATATGTATGCACCGAATATCACAAAGCTTCATATTTTGGTTCATAATTAATTCCCCTCAAATCATTCTTTGCTCATTAGAAACTGAAAGCAGTTTTAGGACCATTATGTTGTTGTTCTTTTCATTTTAATATTGTGGATTTATTTATTATTATTTTATTTTTTATTTTTATCATGTGTAGTATTCATGCATTACTAGTAAATAATTTTTTTCAAAGTTGAAATGTCTTTAACATGATGTTAAAAATGTGGCGCTCATGGCAAACGAAACAGAACAAACAGAATTAAGTCGTGACGTAACAACCAAATGACGAATTATGCATAATGTTAAAAAAATAAAATGTGCTGTTGAAATGCAAGGAAATGTCCAGAGAGATCGGGCTATAATTTTTTTAATCAGAAAAAGTATTTTTTTCCTCAGCTATAGGAAAGATGTAACTGTGTTTATAGCACTGATTATTTAAATATTTTCTGCTAAAATTATAATTAAACTCTGTAAGATCATGTAGTTCATCCCATTAAAATGCGCAAACGCCCATAAGGGTTTTATTACTTCCAGTAATTTTCCTTAGATGTAAATTTTAAAGGCATAAACATAGTAAGACTTTTATTCAGCAAGGACCCAATCAACTGATCAAAAGAGAGTATATAATGTTAGAAAATATGTAAATATTTTTTTTAAACATCAAATCAGCATATTAGATTTCTAAAGGATCATGTGACACTGAAGACTGGAGTAACGATACTGAAAATTCAGCTTTGGAACTAATTGAATTTTAAAATATATTCAAATAGAAAACAGACTGAATAACAAATGTAGAATCATTGAGCATTAGAGACTTAAAACATGAACAAAAATCTTACCAGCCCCAAACAGTAGTACATCTGCTTAAAGGCACAGTATACAAGTTTCACCGCTAGAGGTCGCTTATGCAAAACAACAACAAAGGCGTAGCTTGATGATGTCATAAATGAGCGTGGAATCATGGGAGTTGTCGTCTTCACCTACACAGCTGATGGAAATCAATCCGACAGCACTCAAACACTAATCCTTTTCATGCATGAGCTACAGTATTAAAGATTTATTAACATTACTGTGGTATGAAGCAGGGCGGAGACGTCCGCTTGGGAGATTTTACGTTGCTGTTTTTATTATGCTTACGTCGCCGTCGGCCGCTGCCGCTTATGCGTTAGCTCAGTGGCTATTATGAGACGCTTAGCTAGATCAGTCATATTAATACCAGCTGGATGACTTGTGTTGCAAAATGGCATGCATTAAACCATTGCATGGTGGTGAAAATATTGTTTTACTGTTACGAAATATAAAGCTATTTCTGATTATGTTGTCAGCCACATGACAAAATAGTGCTGTCTGATTAACCGTGTTGAGCTAACAATGATAGTTGCTCACCTGTCCAATAAAACATACCAGTAATATATCTTTGGAAATCGAGGGTAATGCGGATAAGACATCATTGACAGGTGTTAGACTGGTTAAAATAGCTGATTTCTCTGGATTTAAACATTGTTGGAAACATTTAGGACAAGTCACCAAAATATATAACATTGTTCTAGTGATTTTGGGATATTTTAATCCAAAAATTGTACATATTGCGCCTTTAAAATTAATTCTGTTAGTATGTAGATGACCTTAAAGCAACCAGATACAAATTCTAAATTATTGACGCTGATTTTTTTCAAATGCTGTATTATAATAATGAGAATCAACACCGATTACTAGAAAAGCAAAACATCTGGTAAAGACAATTTGATAGGCAAATGTACTAACGTTGCAATGCAACAACAACAAAAAATAGATAAAAAAAAAAATGACACTGTTTCCACTGTATCCTGAGACAGTGGGTTCTCCCTGTAAGTCTATGTTGGTCTTGACTTAACTTCTATTTACTGTGTGGTGAAAGGGCAGTAAATGCCTCCGGCTCATTACGAGCCCACTGATATACATTTCACACCTGACCTCACTGCCACACACACACAGTACATGAGTCTGAACAGGAACACGCCTGATAAACACAAACACACAGACTCCTTTCATGCATGAGACAGGGATGAGGACGGGACGTTTTCCGCGTTCCCCTTTCCCCCACATCTGCTGTGCTGTCTCATCAGAAACCTCTGTGTTATCGCACAGTGAATCCTCTGTTTACCACTGACTTAACACGCCGCTCCTGTTCACTGCTGACCAACCAGGATGAGCTAAGTATAAACCGAATGCCTAGCAAGCCAAAGCCCCACTTCCAGGAAAACAAAAAGAGGAAGACAAAGAAGGTCCACATGACTTCCATGGGTTGAGCAAACATGGATCATGTGACATGGTGGTTCCTGCATTGACTTTATTCGACTTCGCTGGTGAAACTCGACTGACCTTTGTCTCAGTCCACTGACACAAACAGTGTTGCTATGGCAGCAGGCGAGCTGAACAGTCTGGCCAGCGGTGGAACATGTTGATTTGGCTGGCATCGGGAAACAGACATAGATCAAAAGATCAGATCTATGATAGTATTACAGAGGCTTATGCTAAAGCATCAGGGCTGCAACGTGATAGATGTGTGGCCATGCTACACAAACATCCGTAGTAAGACGGCTAAATCTTACAAAAAATACTTATAGCTATTATAGCTATAGCAAAAAAGTCATTTTTGTATTATGTGATTCGAATTTAGCACATTTTACCCCAAATTCTCATTATTATATGTTGTTGTTGTTAATTCTTAATGATGATTCATAATAGATTTTTTATTAAAATATTACATTTTATTGTATACTGGGTGAAATATACATACATGCATACATACACAAGACTTCTATTCGTACCAAAGCTGCATTTAGTATTAAATAGAAAAAAGAAAAAAAAAAAAAAACAGTGTCACATGATCTTCAGAAATTATTCAACTATGCTGATTTGCTGCTCAAGTAATATTTCTTATTATTATCAATGTTGAAAACAGCTTATTATTTTGGGCAAACCATGATACATGTTTTTCAGAATTATTTTCTGAATAGAAAGTTTGAAAGAACAGCATTCATTTGAAATAGAAATCTTTTGATATAATAAATGTCTTTGCGGTCACTTTTGATCAACTGCACAATGCATCCTTGCTGAATAAAAGTAATTTCTTTAAAAAAAATCATAATGACTCGAACTTAAACATTAACTTAAAAATAGATACATAAAAAATAGATTACTTGATCACAGTTACATTGTCACCAGTGTTGGGGAAAGTTACTTTAAAAAGTAATCCATTACAATATTGCATTACTGCCTAAAAAAGTAACTAATTGTGTTACTTTCTTTTGCATTCCTTTTTCTCACCTGGGCAGGACTTGCTTGTTTGTTTTTTTTAACAACAAAAAAGTACTATTTTTGACAAATGTTAAGGCCCTTTCACCAAAAGTGAAATGCAAATTCACACCTATACAGAATTTTAGTAGAATTTTTTATTTTAATTTTTTTTGCTTATTCATAAGGTTGAATTGGATCATCGAAGGTCAGCAGGAAAGAAATGTGTCAATAATAAAGTGAGATTAAATTCATAAAGTACACTTGCATTATTTGAAATATTTAATTATTGCAGCTTTGCGTAATATTCAGAGTTTGCATTCCACTATTTTTATTCGTTTTTATGAATACTGAATCTGTTTTTGTGCCAGTGAGATGAGTAAATGCATGCTCACATTTAGTCTAAAACTACAGCATCCATCATGTTTACACACAACGCCTCCGCACTTTCTTCCAATTTTCTCAACATGCAGACTGAAGAGGTGTGTCAGTCAATAAATGGGAAAACAAAGTAACTTGCATTACTTATTTGAAAAAGTTACTCAGACATTTAATGGGTTACTTTACTCATTACTTGAAAAAGTAATCTGATTACATAACTTGTGTTACTTCTGCATTACCCCCAACACTGATTGCCCCAATAATATCAATACCTTGTTTAAAAACGTTTTTTTTTTTTTTTTACTTATAAGTAGAAAATACATTTTAGCCATTTAATATTTGACTAAACTGCAAATTACCAGACTACTTTTCAGAACAAACGTAGAACATGATCAACAACTTTTACTTTAAACAAGGTTAAAACACAATTTATATAAAAAAATGAATATGTAATATTATTATATAGTATCCATACTTTTGAGTTTATGGAAGAAATATGGCCCGTACATGTTCTTGACAGGTTTTGAGATTAATCTATGACTCTTTACACGTCCTCCAGCTGGCAGTCATCAAGTCTAGTACACAGCAAGACTGATCCAAATGATCAAATCAACACTGTTTGCAAAACGCTGAGCCATCTGTTGCACACCCAAAGAATCTGGCCAACACGAAGATGTCATTTCACTTTCCCTAAAGAATCTCCCCGATTCACTTTTCACCACTAGTGCATTTGAAAGCTGTGGTTGTCACACAGAAGAAAGTCTGCCTCAGTTGTGGGAAACCAAGCGGTTTATGATAATGGGACTGTGATGATTTTTCATAATTCCTTGAGAAGATAGACCTACAGGTTTTAAAAAAGTGTGAAAAACCCCTGTATGTACACAAATTTATAAATGAATATAAATACTGATACTTATATTTTTAATATTCAATCTGTGATGTTTGTGGATGTTTTTCTTTTCTTTTTCTTTTTATTTCATTTTCCACATTATCTTTTACATTAATACATAATAAAAGTGATGATTATTCGTAGCCTATTCTTTCTTTCTTTCTTTCTTTTCCTCTAATGTGTTTTTATTGGAGAAATATATTCAAAATTTCAAAACAGAACAATTATTTATTTTTCAAAATATATAATATGATGTGATATGCACTTTGTTATTTGTCATGACTCATTCTTCTAAATTTCCACGTCCAATTCTATTCCTTGACTTTCTTTCTGCCACTTTCCACACACACAGACAACAGTCTGGACCACATTCGCTTCTGCTAAGAATAGAATTACGAATACTACTATGGCGAAAGCTTAGCTCATAAATATTAACCAAGTTCTGCTTACACTGCTTTGAGGCTCCCCTACACAGTTCGGTCACGTAGCTTAATCAATATTCATTTCCAGTAGTTTATTGGCCAGTTTACTAAAGTTCACAGTCTAACGTCTTCCTCTCAGCCAATCATCATGGCTTACTGGATCGGTGAGCGATTAATATTCATGACGCGAGCGCCTTCTCCATAGTAGAGTGTGTTAACTGTCGTCCTGAATTAGGGGTCACACATAGCTGTGAGGAAGACTAGTGCTTCTGTTACAGCTCGCACGTAGCTCACTCAGCATTACATTGCTTACATTATATGGCAGTTGAAGTATACTTCTAAATATCAGTGGTCTGAATATTTAGACAGCGAGATTTAGCAGTCTGGTCTTTGCTTTTCAGAAAGCATAACAGGAATTTCAACAAGATTTATTAGTATTTTAGGAGTCTCTCTAGTCTTTTAGGAATTTCCAATAATGTTGCGACCAACGTGTTTATATTGTGTCACTCCATACGAATGAACTGAAATGGTCTTTAAATAGTAGCGTGACAAATGTTTTTGGGTCAAATCCATAACGTTACAGAGAGTGCTAAATGGCTTGTCTGGATCTAACGTTAGACGTTAATGGCTATTTTCTCGGCTTCAAGTTATTTATAACCGCATTTTACATGGTTTTTCGTCTGCAAGTGAATTAAATACTAGTTAAGTTAAATCAAAAGTGTTCAGAGGCCAATTACTTGACCAGTTTGTTTGCAACCTCGCGTAAACAAAGACCTTATTCGCTGCCACATGTCAAGCGTTTAGTTGACAAACAAATATGAATAAAATACTAGAGCACTCTCTCATTCTCACGCCAGAAAAAAACACAGGTTACATATTTAATGAAACAAATAAAATGAGGTTTCAAACATCCATAATCTCCATTTTCGAGTTGCTCTAGTTCGCCTTGTTGACATCGGCTATGGCCAGCCTACTGAAGAAGACGTAGAGTCAAACTACTGGTTTAGACAAAAGTCAATCACGTTTTAAGGCCCGCGTTAACACACAACCTCAACGGTCATTGGACAGAACGCTTGTCAATTAACGTGACGCACTTGTTTGACATCAAACCCCGCCCTCCAACTGTAATGGCACAAAAATGTTGACTGGAACTAAAGAAAAACACAGGTTTTACATTAAGCAAACGAAGTAAAAGTATCAAAAATTCCAATACCTATACGTCAAAGGCTTCTTTAACAAAATTTATAGATGTCAGAACAATACAGCGAGGGGCTCCGGCAGTACATACCGTTTAATCCAGGATCCCCGTTGTTGTCTGCTGGAGCAGCAGCGTCGGACATCATCGTGCTATGTGTTGGGCGGCTTGCATAAGACTGACAACAGCACAGCACGAACACACTCTGCGCGTTCACGCGTGACGGTGCCTGACAGCAGATCGGAAGATCTGCGGAGCGAACCCTTTTAGATTCGTTAATAACAAGTTTTTCTGTGGCTGACCCCAGAACAGTGATGGGAGTGCAGATTTCGTGTAGCGCTAAAGTGACGCAAACGGGTACATATCTAATAACAAAGACACTGACAATACGTAAACCAAAGGAGTCAGGGGACTGCTTATTTATAAAACGCACGTGAATTATGGACACAGCTTGTCAATAAACTGAAATGCCATGGCAAGCCCATTTAATATTTTCTTAAAACCAGTGGGCCTATCTTTTGTTGTTACAGTAGTTTTTTAATCAGCAATTCAGCCAATAGTGGCAACTTATTCAATGTCACTACTAACTTTTTATTTAACTGTGATTTATTTTGGTCCATAGAACATTTTTATTAGATACTCCCAACCCCCTACGATACAGTAACAAATTGCAACTTTTAGCCACTGAAATCTGTATCACACACACACACACACATATATATTCCAATTGTTGCTAATAAATATTTACTAGCTACCAGTATTAGTCCTTTAGTTAACTATTCAACTCTTCAAATTGCTTTTTATTGCAGATTCACTATTAGGCTACCCATTTATAGACTATATGTGGAGATACTAATATTAGTACTACAGTTCTATGTAGTCGAACCAGAGTACTAACTTACGTCCATTAAACTCACCCTCTAAACCTCACTCCCATCTGGTTCATGGCACCAAATGTAAATAGTCCTACACAACCCACTTCAAACGGAATTCAAACCTGGGTCTCTGGCATGCTAACAAAGACTACAGGGCGCCACAGCTATCGCATCTCACGAGGTTTACACTCACAGCTCTTACTGGCCTACGTCAGTTGCACTCACACCCCAAACCTCATTTCAATTTGGGTCACGACACCAAATGTAGCTGGTTCTACTCAACCCGCTTCGAGCGGAATTTAAAACCAGGGTCTGGAGTGGGAGGCGGACATGCTAACAAGAATGCTAAAGGCTGCAGTCAACTAGCACATCTCTTGAGACCAGGTGAGTGAGGTTTACACAGAGCTCTTACTGGCCTACCTCTGTTACATATACTTGTATTAAATAAAATGTAAATAGTTTGTAGTACATAAAATATAAGCTACTATATAACTAGCAAAACTGAAATTGGGAAATCTAACATGTGGATGAAAGGTCTCATTTTGTGGGCATATTTCTGCCTTCACTATGCAGTTTCCTTTTTCTTTTTAGTTTAATCACGCATTTAAAAAGATCAGATCAATCTTAATCATCTGAGAGGATATTTGCCTCCAAAATGCTCAGAGCAATCATCATACATGCACATTTTAAAATATAGAACCTCCCTTATTATTATCAATAGCATTTAATAATCCATATTGGTCTGAATACAGTTCCGCACAAAACAAGCTTTGCACATTTCAAAGAAGGACATGAGTCTAGTTTAATTGTTTGTTCCGTTTATAAATACCATTTCATTATCATAATCTCTATAATCTTTCTCAACGTGTATCTCTTGAGATAGAGAGAGTGTAGACGGGCATGAACCACAGAGGAAAATAAACCCTGTAAGGCTGAATGAGTGAGCAGTCCAACTGGAGTGTTATGTGCTTGAACAAGTGTAGCTTTAAGACTACTACAGCAAACACGGCACGTCTGTGCCACAGAAAAGAACAGGAAAAGCTCTTTGGGCCAATGTGATGAAGTGGGTATGAGTGCGTGGATTTCTTAAAAGAAACACGGCTGAAACCATTTGTAGCTGTATGGAGTATAATGGGACATTATGAAATGTAAAAAGTAGTAAACTAAAAAAAAATTAAACACATATTCTTGAAACAGAATTAAAACAAGCTAAACAACTTGGCAGTTTCTCTGAGAAGATTAAAAAACGCTTACAATGGCACAAACAACATATCGAGGATTAAAGGACACAGGGACACATCCACATGAGTTCAAATTAGTTTTTATACAGACACCTTGAATAAACCAAAGCCAAAAAAACTAAAAAAAAAACTAAAAAAAAAAAAAAAACTATGATTGAAATCTTGCCATTTCCTCCCATTTGAAAGATTGCTGCCCATTTCGTACCTGGGCTCAGACTTGTGGGTAAAGGGAAAAGGGCTGGAGGGTACAGACACAGGTTGGCACAACATCACCAGAGCGAGGCGCATGTCATGGTGCCACAGAGGCCAAAGCCAGGTTGCGCTCTTCTCCAGACCAGCCTGAACCAGTTAAAGCATTGGTAGCCCCAAGTTGGATCGCCTAGTTCATCCTGTCCTGGAGTAGACCATGGTTGGTAAATATGATGGTGATTGTTACAGAAATGATTTTTGCAGTTCATCTTTTTTTTTGTTTCCACAGAGAGAGAGAGGTTCGGAGGTTTTCTTTCCCCATGACGACAGTATTAGTTCACTTTTTCCTGGAAGATGTAGAGGTTGTTGGTGGTTGCCACGGCGATGATATTTTCCTGCGGGTGCCAGGCGGTGTGTAGGATCTTCTTGTTGAAGTCCAGGCTGTCCACGCTGATCTCGTCCTTCTTCCGCTTGCCGCCCGCGCAAACCCTACGCGGCTTCAGGACCTGCCGAGGCTTGCAGCTCTCGCGCGAAGCCTCCAGGGTGACGTCCCGCCGCTGGGAACGGTCCAACATTCTGAAGAAGTTGTTGTAGGATCCAGTCATCACCACACTAAGGCAAAAGACGACAACCAGAAAGACAATGCCTTTAATAAAACTGATTCGGCTAGTTACAGGGATTGTTCACCCAAACATGAGAGTAAATGACAGAATTTATGTCCTTGCGAACAGATAAAAATTGTTATTTCGTAAAACACAAATCAATCTATTTTAATGAAACCTGAGAGGTTTCGGTCTCTCCATTGAAAGTCGGGATAACCAAAAATGAAAAGAAAGGCGTAGCAAAATTATGGAAGCTTGTTTCGGCCATTTACTTTTTTTTTTAACTTTTTTCAAAATAAATAAATAAAAAATCGTCCCATATATATATATATATATACTGTATCTATATGCTGCTTGACTTGGATCCCTTTTTTGCAAATGACACTTTCCTGTCCAAAACCCAGTGGCGAATTCTGTGACCCTAATAGGCACTGTATTGACAGTAGCGTTAGGATTGGGATCAGGAGTAAGTCGGATTAGTGTAATACAGCACCTACAAGGGTGTCACATAACCACATAATTCGACACAACACCAGCTCTGGTTCAAGACCAGCAAGTATTTAGGGCTGAATTTGAACGGATCTGTCAGGCCCGGAATTAACTTTTCTGGAGTGAAAATGCATGGATCGGTATGAGAACGGACACAAGCCAGGAACCCGCACCGGAACAGTGTCAGTGGAAAAGGGGTAAATAATAATTAACAGCAATCAAGTCTACTATTAGATTAACACAGATGAGAAGTGTGTTTAATAGCACTGACGTGTCTTTATGACATACTAACTCAATCTTCCACTGACCTTGACCACCGTTTTTCGGTCTGTCTAAGAGTGATTAGAGGTTCCCCTGAGATAAGAGCCAGTCTGGGCCCCAATGGAGAGTCATGCAAGATCAGTGGTTGGACTAAATGTTGACTGCTACCTTACTGACCTTCTTGGGTCCATGTTTTAAATCTTAAAGTGTTTGAAATAGAAAATTAGGCTTTATTACAGTCATATACAATAAGTCACAATTCATCTTGTAACTACATACTGCTGTTTTATCGAATGCCCATCCCTAAATATATATATATAGGCTGTATTCAAATTTGGATTATCTTTTTTTTTTTTTTTTTTACCAAAAATGTGTTTTAGGTGGACAGACAATACAGTACAAAGAACATGTAGGATGTTGGAAAACAGCAATGTCTTTTCTGTTAACTAAATGCTATTTAATTTACGCTATTGCTTTAATGAAAGTGAACAAGTGTACCGCTATTTGTTACGTAGTGATGAGCATGTTCAAGTAAGCCAGAAATGCGCAGATTCTGTGCAATACGCTGTCTTTAATAGATCGCGATGACGCAGATTTGGCTTACACGAACGTCCCCAGCAAAGTGAGTAAACATAGTAACACCATGTTACTATGCCAAAGTTTTACCCACGGTGTTAATTTCAAACCCTGAATGTGAAGAGTCTAACCTGTCATTTCCGTTCCAGCAGCATTCGAATTTGTCAAAGATGCAGTCGTTCTCATAGAGAGAGCACAACTTACTCCTGAGATACTCGTGAACCTATGGCAGAAAAAAAGAGTAAAAAGCAGGTCATGAACTCTGACATAGCAGTGAAAGTTATTACTGGAGATCAGAGGTATTAAATAAACCAGACATTTAAGTACAGTAAAATTACTCAATGACCTCATCTGAGCCATGAATGTTAATCATAAATATCTGGGTGTGTGTTAAGACACTCCCAAATTATTGGGGCAAAACTGACTTTGTCAACCTTAAAAAGAATGGTTTACTGAAAAAATTAAACTTCTGTCATCATTTACTCACCCTCAAGTTGGTTCAACCCTGTATGAATATCTTTCTTCTGCGTAAAGATATTTTGATTAATGTCAGTAACCAAACAGTTGATGGACCCCATTGAGTTCCATAGTAGGAAAACAAATGCTATAGAAGTCAAAGGGGCACATCAACTGTTTGGTTACTGACATTCATCAAAATATCTTTTCTTGGTTTTAGCAGAAGAAATAAATTCATACAGGGTTGAAACAATGAGTGACATTTAATCCTACAATTTTAAATAGTGAAAAAAGCGCCCCCTAATGTTGACAAAAATATTAATTGCAAGTCTTTTCATGCACACACTGGAATTTTCTTTCTGTTGGAATTATCAAAAGGAACTATTTTTTTCTTGCCATTACAATATACTCAACATAGATGAGTATATTGTAGATATAAAATTATTTAAATATATACAATGCATTGTAATAAGCTTATTTGGCATTCAAGAAAACTTACTGTTAAAGTTAAAAATATTTAATATTTATTTAAAAATATCAGCGCCATGTATTTGTACTGTCATGTATTTGTACATTAATATAAAATACTAAAATTATTGACAATTTTTTTTCAGGTTTCTTTGATGAATAGATATTCAAATTATTGTCCAGAAAAATATTATTCAAAGAACCCTGAAAAAAAAAAAAAAACAATTTTCTACAAAAATTAATTAAGCAACAAAACTGTTTTCAATTTCATCAATACTTAAATTTATTTTTTATTTTTTAAATTACACAACACTACTTTTTATTTTGAGTAAACATTCATTTTTCAGGTTTCTTTGACGATTTGACGAGCACGCATTTGCATCACAGTTAATCTAACGACATCAATAATATGGTTTGGTGAAAACAACATTGAATAAAATAGAAGAGACAGAGTTCCACTAATGTTTGTTTCTGTCGATGGATCCGTATGTATTTCACAAAAATAGGACAGTCACCTTTCTGCACGAGGGCGCCTTCTGGCATTGAGCATGAATGAAAAAGTTTACATACAAATTTAGCACTCCATAATATTTTAGGCTAAAATAGAAAGAATTATTACTGCTCTCTAAAGATATTTGAAGTAAACATTCATAATCCATAGGTTTTTTAAAAATCCATAATCCAGGACTAGCAAAATATTAGCAACTTGCTCTTTGTACAGTGGTAAAATCCACAAGATAACAGAGCAGTGTTAATTTCGAAAACGAAATCTATGATTAAAGTACTATTTATGAACTCTCACCTGGTATGTCTCAACGGGTCGACTCTCCATATTTAGGTCCCAGATTTTGACAGACAGGTAGTCTCGGGTCATCATGTAGCGGCCGTTGTGACTAAATTTCACGTCTGAGATGGAGGAGATGATTTCAGAAAAGAAAGAGCGGTTGCTGGGGTCTTCAGGCTCCTCAAACACTGGATTAAGTAGATGAGAAAACGATTGTAGTAACTAACACATGACATCACACTATATACCATTTAGAAAACACAATCCAATTGTCCAGCTTTGATTTGATAGGGTCATATGATGTAGTATGCTCTTAAAACTCACATTTAGAATGCTTGTCACAAAGTGCTGATGCACGCATGTCACAAAGGCGGATGGTGCCTTTGCTGCTGCTGTAGACAAACGTATTACATTGGTGAGGGTGGAACTCTGCGGCTGTGATCACCTCCGTCAGCTCCTCCATATTGGCTGGTTTTATGTCCACAATGTCTGACGCAGAGTTAAAGCCACATAACAGCTGAACCCACACAAATGTCATTTTCAGACATTTCCACGTGACATTCACAACCCAAATCAATGCTTTTAACCAAAGAAATCACTCTCTAGGATACTAAAGCTGCGGTCTGTGATCTCCAAGTGCCACAGGTTGATCCGCAGGTCGTCTGCTGACAGATAGGTCTCATTGTCGCTGTTGACCGAGATGGAGTTGATGTGATAGGTGTGGGCGTTGGCAAAGACCCTCCGCGGGCTGGCCTCCACCATGAGATCCATAGGCCTAAATATTGGAACCTGCAAAAACAGTTTAAACGTTTATTTGCCATTTAATTAAATTTTAAACCACAAGTGTTTTATGAATTTGTAACCGTCATGGAGTGGCATTAGATATATACAGAATGCATATAAATATATTTTATATATATACACTCACAAATTTACAGTACCATTTTTACCAAATTTACAGTAAAAAAACAGCATTAAATTGATCTACAGTGACAGTTAAGACATTTATAATGCTGCAAAAGCTTTCAAATAACCTTCTGTTTATCAAAAAAAGAACAAAATCACGCTTTCCACAAAAACATTGAGCAGCAAAACTGGATTCATGTTTCTTGATCGCCAAATCAACATATTAGAAGGATTTCTAAAAGATCATGTGATGTAATCTGTTGTGCAGCATTTTGTTTGCCAACAAATAAAAGGAATTGTTCACTTTTCATTTTATTATATTTTCAAAGATAAAATACATTCATGTATTATGCCTCCGTTTGATTACCACCTTTTTTGATAATAAATATGAAGGCATGAAACCATACAAATTTAAACACGCCACAGAATTTCTTAAAAAGATAAAATTATGGTGCCCTATTGTCGCAAAAAAATCAAAATGGAAAAAAAACTAAACTTGGAAAAGAACTGAAACGGATTTCATAAGCTCCATTTACTGCAGTGTTGATCAAATAAATGCAGCACTGGTGAGCATAAGACAAAAATATTACCAACCCCAAACTTCTGAATGGTAGTGTAAATACATGGCAAGCGTGCAAGACTGACCCGTAGAGATGTGATGTTAGCAGCATCTCTGTAGCGCCCATCCTCCTCTTTAAGATTGTATCCCTCTGGTCTCTTGTCACGTTCACTGATCTTCCACAACTTTATAGTCTTATCTGCAGTCAAAGGTACAGAACAACGTTCACTTCCTGATGACTCTTACAACCCATGCCAAACTAATTATGTTAACTGCAAAAAAAAAAAAAAGAGGTAGTTTGACTGCCATAACAAAATAAGTTCACATTTCACCAAATTTCGAAAACATCTGGTCATTTTTCCCACGTCTAATATGAACTCCGTCCCATAAATATCTTTCTCCAGTATGTGGGTGAACAGAACATTGGCATTCGATCCATTCAAAAGAGTTTTAAATATACACTGGTTGCATAACACAGCAGAGAGTTCATATTTTTAGACAGCATAGAGACGCTTCACTGAGTCAGAGAAAAATCTGGGAAATTTGCAGAGCTTAAATCAACTCACAGAAGTGATCCAATGCACTGCCAGTTGAATATATGGAGGATTCTGTATTGGCTGTATTATAAGTATCATTAAATAATCATAAACCAGTCTGTATAAAGTGCTGAACTTTGAAACCCATGACCAATTAAAGTACACGTTTAGCATCTTAATTTAACTGATTAGTAAAAAATAAAAATCCCCAAATGATCTGCCGTATGAATAAATGATGTGTTAGTTAGTTACTTGATATTAAGGGTCATGTAAAAGAACTGAAGATAATGTTAAAGGGTTAATTTGACAACGGAACCAGAAGACAATTCCAATGCTAAATTAAGTCGAAGTTTGTTATTTTTGGACAAATGTATTTAAGACGCTTTAAAACATTTTAACTAACCCACTGATGACACATGGACTACTTTGATGATGTATTTATTTCCTTTCTGGACAAGGACAGTCTATCATACATATAATTTCAGTGGAGGAACAAAAAGCACTTGGACTAAATCTAAAATATCTTAAACTGTGTTCTGAAGATGAACTGAGATTTTACGGGTCATTAATGACAATTTTCATTTTGGGTGAACTAACCCTATTAGACAATTTTTAAAGGATATATATATATATATATATATATGAAGAGTTCAGATGCAAAAGCCTCTAAATGCCATTTGAAATTTTCTTCTTTAATGGTGATTTTTATCAAACTTGTATATTTAAGTTCAGTAAATTCACTTAAATGGCAATGATAATTACCTATTAATTGTTATTTAAGTGAAATTACTGAACTTAAATATACAAGTTCGATAAAAATCATCATTAAAGAAGAAAATTTCAAATGGCATTTAGAGGCTTTTGCATCTGAACTCTTCATATATATATATACACATCTTAATGACTATACATTTCATTAAAATAATTAAATGAACTAAATTAAATAAAAAAATATCTTAATCTAATGAATGCTTTTGTGAGCCACAATAATGTACCGTCTTAGAATTATCTTCATTTGGTGGCTATTTTCAGCAAAAACTGAAATGCAATTATTTTTTAATAACTTTTAATAATTTAACATGCACTGACAACCATTATAATGAAATATAAATGTTTTGTTTCAATTTTAAAGAACATTGTATAGATTTTTTAAATGGTTTTCATTTTATTATTATAAGTATAAGTATTTCTTGAACTCCTAGGGCTAAGGGTTAACGTTAACAGGAAACCCACAAAATGCCCCAATGCTCAGCCTCTACTAACCATTTGTGGACAATAAAAATTGTGCAGCATTTTTTTGTGGTAGCCAGCGGATCTTGTTAATCTTTTCCTCGATTTCCAAGCTCTTCAGGTAGTCAAATTCAGGCTCGTGGCTCTGAAATGTGCTGTAAACATTGTATTCACTACGGCACTGTGGCTGACTCTTGTTCTGGAAAAAAGAAATATACATTTGTGAGAAAGACATGTGGGAACGAAAGCAAATTTAATGTAGGATCGCTTGACCCTTTACCTCGGTCTCTTGCTGGAAGATGACAACTCGTCCGCCTTTGTCCCCTGTGGCTAACAGCTCCCCTGAGTGGTTGAACTCCACAGTAGAGATGATGTCGGCTATATAAATGGATGTGCATACAACATTTGTTAGATTTCCTCCACCTCGTCCCCACAAAAGATATAGACATCTGATCCATCTTAACAGTAAGGTACACATTTCATTGTACATTTTGTTGTCAACTTCGGTACAGACCGATACGGCTAGGAACTATACTCTCATTCCTGCCTAATAATCAAGAAACTTTACTGCCGTACCATGAGTGCAGCAGGCGTACTCGGCTATTATTTGAAGTTTTTAAATTTTAATAAATTTGCCGACTAGCTGCTAAAGACACAATAGGCGGCAGAGCCGCTTATTCTTGGAGAGGTCTGAAGAATTAAAGGTCAAACAATATACCACACACAGTCTCTCACTTGACATCCTGCTGTTAAGAGGAAATTACCGATATGCAAGCTGTTCCTTCACCATTGTCTAGCACTGTTAATAAACACGACAGCAACTGTTTCAATGTGTGTATATATGCACTGTTCATTTTGTAGTTCAAACTGAAAATTCCTACTAGAAGTAGTGCACATTAAATACCTGGATGATGCACTAAGCAAATAAAGTGTGGTATGTCTGGAAATTTTGAACATCAGGCCTCCTTTGAGCCTTAATGTTATTTATAAATGGAGACAGTTTTCAAAAAATTCCATTCAGTCATTCAAGATGCATAGTTCGTCAGTGCTAGGCTAGCGCGAGTCAATGGTAACTGCTAGCCTGCCATTACAAACAGTTTTACCCACTTCAAAGTACACCAAAAGCAAATAAATTCTAACGCCAGGCTATCAATGTAAATGAACCCCCCTTAATGTACTCAAAGCAGCAGTTTTCCTTGAATAGCGGAATGGTTAGGTTTCCAATTTTCAAACAATTCCATTGTTTTAGCTGTGGTATCGAAATTGGAAATAGAGGATTGTGATTTTTCACTATCTAAAATGTAGGCGTCATTACTGCCGTTTCATGGCTGGTGAAAAATATTTCTGGCCAGAACATTTTCATTGGCAGGTGAGGCCCGATAGTATAATTAGGAATTAGGTCAAATTTCTAAAAAAATGGGTCTTGACCTATTGACCATAGGAAAATGTGGGTCCCATGGAAAAAACAGTTGAGAACCACTAGTGTATAACACATTATTTGGGACACAACTAGTGTCTTTCTGATTATCGGCATAAAGTCTTGTCCATGAATTCCCGTTTAGACAGGAAGAGACAGGTACTCACCTTCAGCGACGTCATCATCGATCGCCCCTTTCACTTGTGAAAAGCACCACTGCACATCGTTTCCCCCGCCTCCGGCTCCTGAAATCAGAAAAGCGTGTTAAAGCAGTATCAGGAACATTTATATTGGATTTGATATAAAACACCCTTCCATAGCACAAAACAAGAAAAATAACAGAAATACTACAAATGACGATGCCACTACTGATGCACAGTAGTCAGTGTGAAAACGAGGCAGAGAGTTCTCGTCTGAATTAACAAATTTACCCTTTCTTCTTCACCCAAAAATGAAACAATACTATAATAGGGTATGCACTCACAATAATTCATATAAATTTTAAATGATAGCTCTTGCATCATTTTTTTATGAGGGAGAGAAACGGGCTGAGGCAAATCCTAAGTGGCTGGTTGAGGCAGAGCGAAACTGGTTGGGTTTGTTCACGGGGCAAGTGGCTACAGGAGACCGAATGACAGGAACAACAAACGCCCAAAGTATTTGAGTAATAGTAGCCTACTTCATTACCATACTTCAGTATTTTGGAGTAAATTCTGTTAAAACAAAATACTTGTGTGTCCGTGTATAAATGTACATATAATGTTGCATAAATCCTTAAAATATGAAAACATGTTCAATTATAAAAAGTCTATTACATTTCTTAAACCACAAAACCTGAATCCTCCCAACTCTTTAGGACTGATCATTAAGATTTTTGTCTTTTGAATAAGACTGATGCACTAAAATGCAAGGCACATTTAAGAAAACATTTAAGTTTGACAGTCGTGCGGATCTCGCTGATTCTAACGGTTAAGCGCGCGGCGGTTTGACTCCACATGATTACTCTGTCTGCAGAAGCCGGTTCGACTTCGCTAGTTTAATGGAGGTGGTGATTTAAAGAGGCCGAGATGTCGAGCAGATTAATACATCAGGCCAGATGATACATGCACACATACAGAAGATGGACATGTTACCCAACGCAGATTCATCTTTATAACCGACATATTTAAAAATCCCGTAGCCTGACCGCGCATCCCCGCTAACAATTGATGAGTGGGTTAACGTTAGCCAGACAGATTCCCACGCAAATGAAGCTCATCAGTAAAAGACCATGCACGATCACAGAGAAGGTACTGCTGAACACAAGCCCAAAACGCTCGTTACATTTCAGTAAAACCGACTGAAATCAGTTTTGCTGATTTGCTGGCTAACTGGAGGGAAACGAGGCGGCTAAAATGGCTAGGCTACTGTCAGTGAATCAGATATTCCGATGGTGGATTCGGTACAACCGCTGTGATCACTCTAACAAATAGAAGAAATGGCTATAATCACATTGTTTTCATACAATCTCTGGTTGAGCAGCTCATAAACTTGTCAAGTTACCTGCCATGGCGAGAGCGGCGATGTCGGACCCTAGTCTTGATAAGCAGTGTGAAGGCAGCAACCAAGGCAAGATTTCCAAGTGAACCGCCGGAAATGCAGTTTTTCAAAATAAGAGTGCTTGGAGTTTTTGAAAAATCTGAAAAAAGGTAACAAAAAGCAAATAAAATTGTAAAACTAGATTTAGTAATAAAAGTGAATGATTATGTGATTAGTAACGAGATTTACTGCATTATCAAAGTTATTAATGCAAGTCAGGGGTTTTAAAACTAAAGTCCAGGACCCCCTGGGGGCTGCATAGGGGGTCCATGGAAAAGATTAGAGAAAAACTATGTATAAATGTAACAATGGATAATAGAAAAAAATTCAGATAAATAAAAATTTGATTAAATTAAATATATAAAGAGATTTAAATAAATATAATAAGATGTATAAATAAAAAGGGAAAAAAGATTAAAACCCAAGAAATAGGGCGTAAAAAAAAAACATAATGTAAAAAAAAATAAAACAATGTAACAATAGCAATATTTCAAAAATAATATTTGACAAATATGACACATATTTTTTTTCACAGTATAAATGGTATATACATATATATGTATATATGTATGCATGTATGTATGTATATATGTATGCATGTATGTATGTATATGTGTATATATATATATATATATATATATATATATAGCTGCCTTTTCAATTTTAGGATGTGGTCCCTCACATGAGCATGATCATATTTAGGGGTCCATACCATCTCAAGATAAAAAACATCCTGAACACAGAATTGTTTTGCATTACAGTTTTCCTTTTTGCAAGGAAAACAAACTGACAGCAATATTTTTGCAGTTATACTGCAAATCTTAAAATACCAAGAGTCACCTGTTTTTCCATTACAGTTTTTCAAGAAGCACTTCTGGGTCTTGTCTGCCAACCTGGATTCATAAATTACATATTTGCACAATGCAATGTTTCTGGAAATCTGTAATGTCTACTGTTACCATGTATGCATGGCATATTATTTAATGTTGCTGCTGTTTTTTTTTTGTTTGTTTTTTTGTTTTCCATCCATTGTGGCTGATACATTCTTCCTTTAATGGTTAACCAACCTATCAATCTCAGCCTTATTTATCAATCAACTTATTAATGGTAAATGATACTGAAATATTTAATACTGAAGGGAAGGTGAGCTTTATATAGCAGGCTTCTCTGGTGTTTGCCAGTGTGCAGTGGAGCAATGCCCATTGTATTCTGTCTAAAGATCCTTAGGTTACTTAATGTGCCAACAATGAATGTTATTTTTGATTTTCATAAAAAAAAAAAAAAACAGATACAAGAACCCATTTGATTCACAGTATAAAATAAATAGCATTAACATTTTTGAAATTAAAACCTTAAATAAATTAATATGTTAATCTGCCTTAAATTGATAAATTATTTACAAATCTATTAATCATATTGAGATCATGATGCTAAAGTGAATGTAAAATATACCAGATAACTTAATTTCAAAGTGCAGTTTAAACTGCACTTTGAAATGAAGTTATCTGGTATATTTCACATTTTTAGATTAAATTAAATTCCATTTTATTCCATAATGTTTACTAAACTTTAATAAAAGTTTATTCTAGTTGTATTTTGAAGGAAAATCACGCTTCAGGGCCCGCTATTTCGTAACTTCCGGCACTTACCTTCGCTTTCTGCTGCTAAATTTTGGTCTGAGAACTATCCAGATAACTTTGCCGGATTTATTTTATTGCAAGCAGTTCGCCTGAGAATGGATGAAGACGAACCTCGGAAATAATTTCTTCTCGGTAGTCCTTTAAATCACTCTTAAATCTTAAGATTTCTCTAGCTTTCTTCCTGCAACCCACCCTCCTCCTCCTGCTCCTGGCTCCTGGCTCCTGCACTCTCAACATTCAAAATGGCGCAACCCCGCCTTGTAGTGACGTCATCAGCACTGGCCATTCTTTGCTGGATGCTGTGGGATGATGATGTAATCACAGATATCCATAATAAAGGCCTTTAGTATGTGGCTATCTATGGATGTAACTACCACGGTGGTCTTGCCTGGCTCACTGGCTGTGTAGGCAGCTATGGATAAGAAATTATATTCCAAACTAATAGGGAAGGAAGCGAACACATACATTCAACCACAATCATTATGAAAATCATAGACACGTAATTGGTCTTAAAATGGTTTTAAAACATCTTATTTCTTTGCTCATATTTCTTTTAACAGTTATTTGTATATTGTCTACTGTGCTGCTCTGATATGTTTAATTATTTCTAAATTTAAGATGTCTGGCGTCAGTGTGAGATCAAGTGGGAGCATTTTCCTTAAGCAGAGGTAGATCTAGCCACCTTTGTATCAAAATATTTCTGATTCCATCTCTTCTGACATGAGATAATGCGAGTTCTTGGTGTCAAACAACACCTCGTATCTATCATCTATCTGACATTTGAACAGTCACGCCAACCTATTCGGTGCACCAACTGACACAATGGATACGTCTATTTGAACTTTGATTTTTAGACCAAAACATAAGTTTAAGAGGATGTAGGTTTCCTGCATAGGCTTTGTCTGTTGCTCTTATTTTGCTCTTCACTTATGCTTTTCTTCTGCTTCATGTGTTCTACCTCTCCTTTCATTCTGCAAATATCTTACTACTTTTGTCCTCCTTTTGTTCTCCTTATCTTGTCTGTCTTATCTGTTTGATACAATACTTAAGATTTTATTATAAACTATTATTTACCCGATTCATTTGTTTGTCTATAATTGTAATGGCCATTATATATACAGTATATAGGCTTAACTAAGCAAGCACAATTACACCTAGTAACAAAATATTTATTACACACCCAGAACAAGTACAGGCAACTGACAGTAGACTCAGCTATACAAAAACAACAGTTCTATTTTAGTATGCATGACATTGCAGGCTAAAGTGTATCAATGAGGAGTGTTGCACAATAATAAAGTTTGTCTTTGCTGTGGTTCTGAGAAGGATAGTCAAGGCCCAAAAGATCAAAAACCTAAAGGCCTGATTTTAGAGACAGGGCTGGGATTAGTTTAAGTAGCTTAAGTTTTATAGCTTTTATAAATGAACTTTTTTTATAAACTTTTTATACTTTTTATAAATAAACTTGCATATGTATATATATGAAGAGTTTTTTTTTTTTCATTTTTATCAAGCTTGTATATTTAAGTTCAGTAATTTCACTTAAATGACAAAGTGAAATTACTCAACTTAAATATACAAGCTTGATAAAAATGGTCATTTTAGAAGAAAATTTCAAATGGCATTTAGAGGCTTTTGCATCTGAACTATTCATATATATATATATAAGTTGCTTTCAGTTAAAACCGCTCAAACTAGTATTTTAGTCTGGGGCTAGGCTAGAGAATTGTGTCATCATTGACTCACCCTCAAGTTGTTGCAAACCTGTATGAGTTTCTTTATTTTAATTTTAAAGAATGTTGGTAACCAGACAGTTGACAATAGCCAGTGGATGCCATCAGCCAGTGGATGCCATGGTTACAATACCAACATTCGCCAAAATATATTATTTTGTGTTCAACAGTAAAAAGAAATCCATAAATATTCTCCATGAAATGTGCAATGCACAGATAAACTTTGGGGTTATAATATTCAGGAACAATGCTTAAAATACATTTAATTCTAAGTTCATCAGCCTTAGGAAGGTCAAACAAATGAGTTTCAGAAGCGTTGTGGGGAAAAAACAGCATCTCTTTGACAGCGACAACATGCCTCTAAGGCCTTGCATCCTTTTTTATGTTTAAAGGAGCATTGTGACTTCCTAAGAAATCGCATTGTAGTCCAAAAGGGGATTCTGTTATCTCCCTTTGGAGTGGACTTTGAGCTTTGAAACCTTGCAGATTTTTTTTTTACGCTCAAACAGCAACATTACACTAAAGTTGAAAAAAGTAAAAACAGGACCCCTTTAAATCATATTAAATATGGACACACAATTAAAAAGCATAAAAGATTACAAAGTTACAAAGTGTGCCAAAACAGTGATTAGGGGAAGGCACATTCTGAAGTACGCTCTGGTAAACATGATAAGGAATATGCTAACAGATGGTTGCTTTGCCCATCCAACAGACTTATTGGCAGCGTTGCTCAAAAAACACATGAACAAATGTGAAGAGCATGGATGTAATGACGGAATTACCAGCAGGTGGCAGTCTTGTACCATTTAAATATTAGTATCGATCCATCCTTGCTGAACAGAGAGCAGATTTCTTTGTCAGACCATAAACTATTGCATTATTTCTTCAAAACTGATTTTGGATCAGTCTAAACGGATAACCGCTGCCAATACTGGCCTTATGAAAGCAGAAATGCATTAGATGCAACCAGGATGAAGGGCATCATCATTTTGCCTTTCATGTGATGGCAGCTAAAATCTAATACACTTCACTATTGATATTTGCAATAGGATTAGCACTGGAGTTTAAAGATATAAGAAGAGAAATAGCCTGGGCGCTATAATCAGACTATATAGCGGACAGTGCATTTGGCATTCAGTTCTCTCTTGGAACGGTCTCTCGTGTTGACAGACTTTTGAGGGACGGCAGTTTAATTACAGTGTGAAGAGGCCCGATCCCACACGAGTGCCAGACCTCCAGGACACTCGGGCTGCCAGGACTCCAAACTTGACCACTGCAGTCATTCATTCTAGAGAGAGCCTCGCTCCACAGAGGAACGTCTGCTCTGATTGCCCTTGTTGCATTGTGCCAAAGCCAGACTTTTTGTAAATAGCCCCGAAACATTTCATGTGGCGCTTTTGAGAGAATAGAGATGAGCACTTGTGAGCTTTTTATATGAGCAGCTTTTTTTTACTGATAGCCTTTAAACTCGCAGCACGGTGCCAATCGTGTTTTTGCATTTTTAACAGAAACCCAAACCAAGGTTGTCTTGATTGACAGCTGATTGTCATGACAGCAACACATGACTGTAACTCATGTTGTATTTGCTGGTTGTGTTACATGACACTGCATGAATGCAAAAAATGAAGTACTTGTAATTAGATTAAATTACTTTTTTAAAAATACTTAGACTACAGTTACATTTTTATTGATGACTTGATTACATATTTTTTACACAGTGGCAGTAAATCATTCATAATTTATTGATCCTCCCTAATTCTATTTCATAAAAAATAAAAAAGCATATTGCTTATTACATTCAGAAAGTCTTCTAGTTTTGCAAAATTGATCACTCACTGTAAACATATATTTGATTAATAAGTTACGACAGCTTGCTTTTACATTGCTTTAACTCATCAAAATAAGTTAAGACATGTTTATAGTTATATACAAGATTCTAAATCATTTTTGTAAGTCAGTTGAATAATTTAAGTTCAAATTACTTAAACATTCAGCTTGGTTATACTTAAAAAAATAAGGCAGCAACTTTTTCTTTTTTTTATAGAGATTCCACTGTAAGCTATAACTACATGGAAAATTGATTTCGAGAGGAAACAATGCATTTGACCACTGGATTTACAGAAATCATTTTACTTTGAAGAAGTGTTTTTCTTCAACATTGCACATCGATTCACTCCTGACAAACATTGATTATTATTTGAATTGTCACTCAACAAGTCATTTAACCATGTATTGCTGTCTTTGGAAGGCTTTTGTCTTTCAAAACTTTTATTATATTTTTATTATTTTAAAAATTATTTATTTTCATTTTAAATTTTATGTTTTATTTAAATATTTGCTTTTCATTAAACTCACTAACCCCCTGCAGTTCCTTCACAAACCCCAGACTGGGAAACCTTGATAGTGTAATATTAAATGAAGTTGTTAAAACAAAGCTCTTTGTATTTTTATATCAATATGGCACACTATTATCAATTCAATGTGATAGATGAGATATAACAGTAATATTACTTTTTATTATAAAATATTATAAGTAGCCTAGTATATTACCTTAAATGTTGTAATGTAATGGATTATGTTAGTAACTAACAATACTAACTAAAAAAAGTGTCATGGTTTCCTAAAAATAATAAGCCACACACTGCTTTCAACATTGATAATAATAAGGAACAATTCTTGAGCAGCAAATCAGCATATTGATGATTTCTGAAGGATCATGTGACACTGAAGACTGAAGTAATGATGCTGAAAAATTAGCTAAATTTATTATATTATATTATATCATTTATTATATTATATTATTTTATATTCAAATAGAAAACTATTTTATTTGTAATATTATTTTTTAGAAAATCCCTTTTTGCACTGTGTTTTTAATCAAATAAGTGCAGGTGTGAATTAGAGACTTCTATAAAAAAAATACATTTGCTTTCTTGAAAACCTTTTTTAATTAGAAAAAAATCTGATTGGCACTCAGGAGGCATTTCATTTAAAGAACCAAAAAGAGGCATCAGAGTCTGACTTATTAAATACACAAAGCAGGAAGAAGCTGTTTAAATGTCCACTCAGTAATGCATTCCTCATTAAAATGTTTCCCCCTAAAGAAATTAGTTGCAGCAGTTTTGAAAAACACGTTCAAATAAAATCATTTACACTCAAACGTGATGAAGATAATGAAAGAATATTTATCTTGTGTAGAGGGGGTCCTCTCATGGGGGCAGACATGTTGAGATGAGATCACATGACAAGCTTTATCTAATACATTGATAAATTAATCAAATATATTAGTCAAGTCATGTTAGAACAGAAGTTTTACAATGCAATCTGTAACTGAAACTACATTGCTTTCAGTTTAATTGAATTACATTTTTTTGTTCACATTCTTTAATTATTTAATTTAAACATCCAGGTTGGAGCGCCCTTCTATGTAAAGCGATTTGAGCCCCGAGAAAAGCGCTATATAAATGTAATGAATTATTATTAATTTCATTTTATG